CAATTACATATGATAGAGTCCTTGTTGATTTGACCAGAGGTCTTTGCATCTTTCTTGTTAATGAAAAACCCTGTACCATGTTGTGAGTGTTTTCCCTCTTTAATTGACCAATACATGATGAACCTAATTATCATGTGACTTCAAGGAGCTCTTTCATTTGTTCCCACATGCAGTAAGACCCTTAAACCTGCCCTATACCTTATAAACACAGAGTTGTATTTAGAAGCTAAAGAGCCAGATATTTTTCTCATAAAAACTTTACAGTTCTGTGGACAGAAATGCCTTTTTGATGACAGAGGAGGGAAAAGATGAGACTGGTGTGGGCTGACAGAAATGCTATAATAGCCGCCATAGTGAACAGAAAATTGTCAGAATGCACAACATGTTGAACCTTGAGAAAGATGAGCTCCAACAGCAGAGGACTGAGTAGAGTTCCACTGCTGTGAGCCAAGAACAGAATGAGAGGCGGCTGTTGACACAGAGTTGTCAAAAGTGAACTCAAAATGTTTACCCTGAGCTGCAGAATCTCAGTTTCTTCAGAAGACTGAAGTGGCTGGACAGCAGCAACATGAGTCCATGTATCCAATTTCAAAATAATATCGAATACTCGTAATATACGTAATCCATATCACAAAGAACAGCGTGAGGGCCTACCAAGTTATAGCATGATGTTTCGAATAAAGTCCTAAAGGAGTGAATAAGTGTATAAAAAGACTGAATCACTATACAACACATCACACATATACATAACCCAATGGAAATATCAATGATGCTGAATCAGTCAGTAAATATAAGTTCCTGTGTCTCTTGCTGGCTCACATTTGTACAAACAAAGAAACCAAACTTACCTGTTCAAACCAGTGGGTGTCCAGCACATTTACACAGTCTCAACATAATGTTTTCATGACTATTTTGGGGGATTGTCAGCCTGTTCAAGCCTCTTAAGTGGTCTGCTTATACTAAGTTTCACCAGGCTACACAGTGTTGCCCATTTATATTTGGTTAGCACCACTAAAATGAAAAGAATACTTATTTTCATGTACACCAAGTGCAAGTTCTCATGACACAACAGAGCAGGTGTCAGTGACAACAGATATGACGCTGTTCATGTCTGAGACAGCACAAAGGTGGGCTGCAAAGCAGCTAGCAGATATACAGCAACTGTACAGTCAAGCTGAAGCAGCTTAAATGAGGTTTGGGATTTCCAGCAAAGCTTTGGAAAGGCTCCAGCAAGGCCAGAACTCAGCTGCCAGGCTTCTATCACAAACTGAACTCTGGCAACATATCACCCCCGTCCTCACAGATCTCCACTGGCTCCTGGTCAAGTCATGCATCACTTAGAAGATCTTTATTCTCACTTACAAATCTCCCAGTGGCCCGGCTACTCAGTATCTGCCAGACCTCCTTCACCCAACCACACAACCTCAGACGCCGAGCCACGGCTCTGCTTTCTGTGCCTCACACCAACCTCCACAGCTTTGAGGATGGAGCCTTCAGTGTGGCAGCGCCTACCCTCTCTCCTATCTGTGCTCTGCAATGCTTGTTCACTGGGGGCGTTGCAGAGAGCCCAGCAATGAGTTCTCCTCAAATCTCACCTCTTCAACAAGACCTTCAACCTCTAACCTTTTTTTATTTACTTACTTTTTGTAAAGCATGCTTGAGTTTCTCGAAAGGTGCTATACAAATCTAAGTTATTATTACATGTCGCACAGCAGAAGTTAAGAAAATTGATGCATGGATGTGCAGAAGGGTATCAGCTGAGCCATGAGTTCATGTGGGCTGGCATTAAGATCAGGTAATGTGACAGGGTTTTCACATGTGAGCAAACACATGCTGCCTACATCACAGATCTTGCAATAACTGCGGCTGTTGATTCTTGTAATTTGTCAAGTGTCAAATTATATTCACTTCCAATTCATGACATCTTTTCTGACTACTGAATTATGGCTGCTGTGGGCTTTTCCCTTCACAATAGCATCCTGCTATAAACCAAAGTACTACTAAGTAAAGTAAGTAAGTAAAATCGCATTTATATAGCACATTTCAAGATAAAATCACAAAGTGCTTCACAGAAGCTTGACAATAAAACAAAAACTACTAGATACATTGCTGTTTTGTTTTGTTTTAGCTGAAAGACATTGAGAATCATAGTGACTATCCTTTTAACCTTAGTTAGAAGTTCATGTGCGGATTCTGCTTCGAGAGGCGTTTAAGAACAGAGAGACTGGTGTGGAGGCCGAACAGATGCCCTCTGTTTCTCTGAGGCAGCTGGGCTGGCTGTGAGCCTTGGCTGGATCCTCCAAATAATGCTAAATCAAACTCACCCACATCCACGAGAGACACAGACACACCCCAGTTTGACACACACACACACAAACACACGCACAGGTGCAGTAATGTGTCCATGCGCATACATAAACGCAGTACAGAGACTTTAGAAAAGAACAAGTAATGTGCACATGTGTACAGAGATGCAAACAGGGAAGCAGAGGCACCCACACAGACTCCCACACACACAAATCAAGCTGCAGAACACAGCTGAACAGAGCATTGCCATGCACAGCACTTGCTATTTGATCATGCACTGAAATTTTGGAGCCTCTGACCATTAAGGCTGACAGGATCGCATCAACTGGCTCATATAAGGAGATAATATCTTGAGTGGTTACTTCAGCGTATAAGCAGCTCTACAGCACAGTCATATAACAGTGGTGCAATGAGTTTGTGTATGTATGTGCTGAGAAGTGGGACACACAGGTACTCTACACTGAAAACACTCCACATGACCCCCGGTTGTGAAAAAATCAAAGTTTGAGTAGTGTCACACGGGAGCACTTTCACTTGCTGCTGCACTTTCATCGCCACTCCGTGATGGCATGTCAGCATCAACGACTCTATTTGTACTCTAGATGATGGTGTAACCTCTCTCTCAGCACTATAAATCAATTGAGCTTTGAAAACACAACCTTTTCATTCAGACTTTGAAAAGATGAACGGATTATGTTTTTCATTAAAAAAAACACCTGGTTAGTCGGCGAGCTTCATTCAGAGATGCAAATTAATCACGTCTCCAAAGACTCTGATTTCAGAAAGCTGGTCAAATTTGAAGTAATGTTATTACCAGAAAACTGGATCCATGTGAGCTCGGGCTAAAGCTGTGTCTAACAATAAAAGGTGTGATAAGGCTACCCTACCTATTTGAAAGTGTCAAATTTTGATAGGTACTCTGTGTTAGAAACTGCATCTGGCACCACACGCTGGGTTCTGGGGAGTTTGTAATTTTGGGCTTTGTGCTTTGTGCTGGAGGTAAGATTGTGTTTGTCACAAAAGTTTTCCAGCTGCAACTTTCTTCTTCTTAAATTTCAACTGAGCAGAAACTTCAAGGCGTGAAAAATAAAGCCACTGTTTAAGTGCCAAAAAACACCACAGAAGTTCTCCCAAATGATGTTGCTTCAATTTCCGTGGAATCACATGTTAAAATGCCCAACTTAAGAGAGAATGTATTTACTTGATTATTTTCTGTGGTCACTTATAGCGTCACATTAAAGTCACTGTTGCCTGGGCAGACCTTTGACAAATGATGTAGAGTAACTAGAAGAACTTGAGGTAATTTCTGCTGTAACATAAATCGGGACAACCTGCCATCCTTCTGTGCATCCATCCATCATGTTCTGCTTATTCAGTGCTGCTGAATGCTATCCCTGCTGTCACTGGGCAAAAAGAGATGTACACCCTAGAGAGATTACCAGTCTATTGCAGGCTTCACACAGAGACAGACAATCATTCATTCCCATATTCACAACTATGGCCAATTTAAAATTACTACTCAATCTGACAAGTATGTCTTCAGACCGTGGGAGAGCATGGCATGTAGGATATGCAGATGCATGAAAGGCCCCTGCTGGCCAGTGGACTTGAATTCAGGGCATTTTTACACCACAGTGCCGCCCCTGCATCTGTTAATCACTGGCTAATCTTTTTTTTATTTGTTGTTTTGTTTTTTGCAGTAACTCTTAACAGGCTCACTCATTTCTCTCGATCCAACTATGCATTACAAAGTTATGGTGCTTTGCTAGCTTTTTTGACCAACACCAGTCTTTTTGCTGGTGGAAATGCATGGAACCCATCCTAGATTAGGCAAGAGTACTGCGTTGGTGGGGTGTCAGTAATTGTTTTCCACTGAGAAGAGCTGCCTACTATTGACATGGAACCAAATAGTCATTTCGAAAGAAAGAAGCTTGTTTTAAAGCCAAGTTTCCATCAAAATTTAGCATGAAATTGAAATACATTTGTAGAAAAACTGAAAATATGACATTGCGTTAGTTTTTTCCTGTGATTATCTTCAGAGTGCAAAAGCAAAACTATGATACATTTTTTCTCCCCTAATTTTCTGGGTTTCTGGGTTCTTTCTTTACAACAGTTTTGTTCCAAGTTTGCAACTGAAACACCCTCAACAAATATAATATAATATAATATAATATAATATAATATAATATAATATAATATAATATAATATAAGCACCGGAGATACTTTGTAGATACTGAAAGGTTCTCTTCTAACACTTTCTAAACACAGAGAATGAGGCTAAGATGTGGAGGTCGTTTTTAGCCAAGGCTTTAATGTGACATTTATCCGTCGTTCTCGCCCTTCATTACTTCCATCAGTAAAGGTCAGGCTCGTACATGTGGGCCCTCGCAGGTGTTTGAGCCCCTTACATCTACTACCCAGGAGCGCAAGCGGATATCACATTACTCATGTGATTACCTGGTGAAAGGAATCCGATCTTTGACTTTACGCATGAGATAAAAGAGAATAAGGAGATAACCAGGGTGAGATTCCGTGACATTTCCGTTGTTTAAGAAGAGGTACACAGATCTCTTGGCGGCTTTTCTTCCTCAAAGGACTTCGTTGGTGTGGGAAGGGGGGCGCTGATGGAGGCAGAACTTCCTGTCTGTCTTTTTGCATCCCAGTGCGTGGAGAAATAATTGAGTGCAGTGAAAGCCGAGCATTCATTCAAAGACCTTGACTGGCGCTACTGAAGCCTGGAGGCTCAGTAGTGATTCAGCAGCAGCGGAGCAGCGCTTAGGAGACAGTGGTGGTGAGAAGGAAGGAATAAAGGGAAAAAAGAGAAAAGGAAATTTCAAAAGAAGGAGGTGAACAACGTGAGCCGCGCGCCGATTTGGAGCCGCGTTTTCATCGCTTAACAACACGGAGTGAAAGGGGATTTAAAGAAAAGAGAGAGAGAAGCCGGTGAAAACTTCTCCCATCGCGGCCAAAACCTTCTGATTTTACTTAAAAAACAATTAAACTCCGGGAAATTCGGTTTGCAGCGGATTTTGACGGATGCGCACCGGAGCTATCCAGGGGTGTAGCCGCGATTCCCGTCGTGCGTCTTTGCGCTGTTAGAGGTGGTGTGTGACTGAGTGTGTGTGAGAGAGGAGGATACAGATAGAGGTGGAGGATCAGCCGGAGTGGCCGACCAGCCAGAAGGATGCTGGAGGGCAATGCCTGCAGAAAGAGAGGATGAGATTTGTCGAAAGGCGCTGGAACTGCTCTCGGACCTTTGCTCCAAGGGAGAGGTGCAGGACGACAGCTGCCTGGATTTCATTTACTACTTCAGGGATCTGGCCAGACCCCGTTACACGGACTCAGGTAAGGCTCCACGGTCTTCTCTTTGATAAAGTAGGATAGAGTTATATTATATCCAACACTAACTCGTGGCAGTTTAATTTTATTATGAGCTCCAGGAGCTCCAACAAATAGGTTTTTTTTAGTTTTTGCTTTTATCTTTAGGAAAGCACTAAACAAACTCCAGTTTCCCCAAAATACACGAAACCCTCAAACCTTATTCCTCCAGTGTGTGTGTGTGTGTGTGTGTGTGTGTGTGTGTGTGTGTGTGTGTGTGTGTGTGTGTGTGTGTGTGTGTGCGTGCAAGACTCCAACTGTAGGAAAAACGGTTGCTCTGTACAATCACCACATTAAGAGAAACGTTCAGGGGAAAAAAGCATTTGAACCTTTTCCTTTTAATTGTATTTTTGCAGTAGTAGTCAGTCTAAACAGAAAAGAACTTTTTTGCTCCATGCACATAATTGTATTTCACTATTTTTCCAGTTCACTACAAATGCATTAAGAGTGTGAATTGTGAACTTGTTGCTTGCATCCATTAGTGCCAGCAGAATCCACAAAACATTTCGGATCTATAAGTGAGTGTGAGTGTTTGTTTGCAAATGCTCCGGCGGCATCCATCAGCTTCTTCACGCAGACTGAAAGGGAGTGCTGCTTTGATTTCTCTTTTACTCTGACAGCCTGGAGAGAGGCAGAGAGAAAGCCCCACCCGATAATTCCACATAACTGCCATCATTGTGCAGACATAGCTCCAGCAAAAGGAAATAAGGATCGACAACTTAAATTAGTTACTGTATTTTACACAATCTGTTGGGCACACCCAATAAATTTAAAGTTTTTCAGCAAAACCTTTAGAGATAAAATGAAGTGTAAAATCAATGAATTTGAAAGTTTAGAGAGTTACTTTTACTACATATTGATATGATGTCCTTCAATCTTTGTTTGTTTTTAAGAATCATCCATTTGCAGCCATCGCAGCCTCGCAGACCCCTGCAGCTGTCACTTTCACACCGTGTTTTCTGAAGTGCCTCCCACATCTTGGTTTGGTTTGACTGACTCTTTTTCTTTCTTTTAAATACCATGTGGTCAGGGGTTAAAGTGGGATTTGGCAGGTGTGCACTCCTTAAGATCTGATGGAGCGGTGAAGTGCGGTGAAATGACTCACTGAAAAATAATTGACTTAATCTTCTCTACTGTAAGCTGCAGTAGATTTTTCTTTGTGGACAGGCTGTGATCATCTGACCTGTGTTGCTGCAGCAAACTCTGATATTTATTGTTCCTTGTGGTCTTGCAGATGTTACATGAGTCATTGTGGGCTCTTTTTAAACCATTAGCCAGTAAAAAGATAATATAAAGGTGGAATTTGGTGTTGCTGAAGCACTTCATCGAATAACTCCTACCTTTAACTTAACTGAGCAGAGAGGACAGTAAACACAGTCTACCCTACACCGGATCTACAGTACCCATTACTGAAAAGTTTGGCTTGTCCTGTATAACCTTTCAGCCAAAGTCAGTCATTTGCAGTAAAATCACCACATAATTTCAGAATCACAACATTTACGCATTAATTGTCTGATGAAAAAAATCGAGCAAACTTACATCACAGTTATCTGACTTTAACTTTTTAAACTTAAACTTAATTTTCAAATATCGTTACTGTGCCTTTAGCTTGCAGACAGATTTTGTGCCAAACTGCATATAAAATACTGTATTTGGTGATATTTGTTAAGCCATTTGTGTGGTTCGCTTCAAAAAAAATCACCACATTTTAAACTCACTCAACTCTATCTGCAGTTGCTAGACGCTGATGTACTGCAGCCACAACTTTATTGAGATCTGAATGCATGAATGCATAACAGGGATGAGAAGGAAAAGAGGATGTGTGGAGAGTGTGCATGCTGGAACATGGAGACACATTACTTTGTGATTTATTGAGTGAGTATCTCCGTGGCATCGGCTAGAACGAATGCCAAGCAGCAGCGTATGAAAAATCAACTCAGTTGATGTCATTATGCATTAAACTATTATTATCCTCTTTTTGATTCAGACACTTCAAACTTCCATTAGTCTGAAAATAACACTTTTTTTCCTCCAAACCTTTTAGTGGCCAGTCTCTCAGATATTGATTGCTCTATGTCAGTGTTTAGGTGGCTGGTTCGTGTCAAAGTAACATCCACACGTAGGCCGGGACCTGAGGGTTTACGGGAGAGCATTGCACTATAAAGAGGTGATTAATTTTCTCCTCTCCTCCTGTCAGTGGTTTTAATGCTGTGGCTCAGTGTATTTCCCTCCTCTTGTCCTTGTGTCTGTGTACACATATGTTGTTTTTTGTAGATAACCGCATCCTTTACACATTCATCATTAAGCATATATGATGAGGCGGAAGTTCAAGCTTCCACTGGCTCCTCTGAGGAGCTCTGACCCACTTCCTCTTGTGTTAGAGTTCTAAAAAATGCACGTGCACTGTTTGATACACAGCAAACAACTGTCCCTTCGGGAATTGCGGGAGACTGGAGCTGGGCACAACTTTCTGATATCAATTAAATCTGATAAAATCTGATTAAAAAAAATCTTTAGTGGGTTTGGCATGAAATGAAACATAATATATATATATACACTGAACAAAAATATAAACGCAACACTTTTGTTTTTGCTCCCATTCCCCATGGGATGGACGTAGAGACCTAAAATTCATTCCAGATACACAATATAACCATCCCTCCCAAACAGTGGTCACAAATCAGTCCAAATGTGTGGTAGTGGGCACATCTGCTATATTGAGATAATCCATCCCACCTCACAGGTGTGCCACATCAGGATGCTGATCTGACATCATGAGTAGTGCACAGGTGTACCTCAGACTGCCCACAACAAAAGGCCACCCTGGAATGTGCAGTTCTGTCTCACAGCAAAATGCCACAGATGCCACAAGCAATGAGGGAGCGTGCAATTGGCATGCTGACAGCAGGAATGTCAACCAGATCTGTCGCCCGTGCATTGAATGTTCATTTCTCAACCATAAGCCGTCTCCACAGGCGTTTCAGAGAATATGGCAGCACATCCAACCGGCCTCACAACCGCAGACCTCGTGTAACCACACCAGCCCAGGACCTCCACATCCAGCAGGTTCACCTCCAAGATCGTCTGAGACCAGCCACCCAGACAGCTGCTGGAACAATTGGTTTGCACAACCAAACAATTTCTGCACAAACTGTCAGAAACCGTCTCAGGGACGCTCAACTGCATGCCCGTCGTCCTCATCGGGGTCTTGACCTGACTCCAGCTCGTCGCCGTAACAGACTTGTGTGGGCAAATGCTCACATTCGATGGCGTCTGGCACGTTGGAGAGGTGTGCGCTTCACGGATGAATCATGGTTCACATTGTTCAGGGCAGATGGCAGCTGAGAATGTCCCAGTTCTTGCATGGCCAGCATACTCACCGGACATGTCACCCATTGAGCATGTTCGGGATGTGCTTGACCGGCGTATACGACAGCGTGTACCAGTTCCCACGAATATCCAACAACCTCGCACAGCCATTGAAGTGGAGTGGACCAACATTCCAAAGGCCACAATTGACAATCTGATAGACTCCATGCGACGATGTGTTGCACTGCATGAGGCAAATGGTGGTCACACCAGATACTGACCGGTTCTGGGTCCCCAGATCCCCAATAGCGCAAAAAACTGCACATTCCAGGGTGGCCTTTTGTTGTGGGCAGTCTGAGGTACACCTGTGCACTACTCATGATGTCAGATCAGCATCCTGATGTGGCACACCTGTGAGGTGGGATGGATTATCTCAATATAGCAGATGTGCCCACTACCACACATTTGGACTGATTTGTGACCACTGTTTGGGAGGGATGGTTATATTGTGTATCTGGAATGAATTTTAGGTCTCTACGTCCATCCCATGGGGAATGGGAGCAAAAACAAAAGTGTTGCGTTTATATTTTTGTTCAGTGTATATATATATATATATATATATATATATATATATATATATATGTGTATATATATATATATACATATACATATTGGAGCAGAGGATCGCAAGTTCGATTCCTGCCTGGGGCGTCTGTATCCAGTAAGGGTCCTAAGGCTAGACCCCCTATGCTAAGCAAGCCTACCGCAGACATGAGCGAGACAGATAAATATGAAGGCATGCTGGCTCGGACGTCGCCCGGATCAACAAGGTCCGCGTCAGGTGTTGAGGGACCAGGGCACCCTGACTAAAAGTGGGCTACTGGAACAAGAAGGCATCGGTGGGCAAGAGACGAAAACAGGGCGTTGTTGGAATGCTACTACGCAAGTAACCCCGGCGGAAGGGGCTACATGAATAGGATGAGGGACCTATGGATTCTTCGATACCCAACATCCACAATGACGGCAAAATACCAAGGGCTCAGAGAAGAGCTCGAGAGGATGTGGAGGGTGAAGGTAACGATGGTCCCCGTGGTAATCGGAGCACTAGGTGCGGTGACTCCCAAGCTAGGCGAGTGGCTCCAGCAGATCCCGGGAATAACATCGGAGATCTCTGTCCAGAAGAGCGCAGTCCTGGAAACAGCTAAGATACTGCGCAGGACCCTCAAGCTCCCAGGCCTCTGGTAGAGGACCCGAGCTTGAAGGATAAACCGCCCGCAGGGGCGTGCTGGGTGTTATATATATATATATATATATATATATATATATATATATATATATATATATAACACCCAGCACGCCCCTGCGGGCGGTTTATCTACCAAGGAGATATATATATATATATATATATATATATATATTATATATATATATATATATATACATATATATATATATATATATATACATATATATATATATATATATATGTATACATATACGTGTATATACGTATATGTATATATGTATATATATATGTATATATATATATGTATATATGTATATATATGTATATATATGATATATCATGATTATAATAAGCCAGGAAGTATTAAAAGAGAAGTTCAAGGATATCCATTTTTCTTCGCAATAATTCTGTTGTACAGTAATTGACTGCAATTCAGCCAGTGGCACAGCAGGGGGCGCTCTCAGGATAGTTCGCGATGAATAGTGTGTCATTATTATGACACATTTACACCTGCTTCTAGACAAAACAAAACCAAAACCAAAACCAAATATTATGATATCCTTTAGTTTTTCTCACCGTGAAGCAAATTTTGCCCTTAAATCACTAGCATTTCAGTAATGCATGCTGATTGGTGCATTAAAAAATCACATGTGTGAAAGAAACAGCTCTCTGATGTGGTTGAAGGTGACGCCTAGAGCCTGACTGATATAAGATTTTGAAGACTGATGCTGATACCAATATTTGCAAAGCTAAAAATTTGATATTGCGATGCTTCAGCCAGCATTTTTTTTTCTTTCAAACACATGAATAAACTGATTTCCCCAACATTCCCCATCTTTTATGCTCTACCTGACTCTGCATGGATCTGCTGATTATGTGTGTTGCCAACAGGAAAGTTGCAGATTGCACTCTAGTGCACAAACTCTGCAACATCGCCACTCTTAAGGCGTTGAAGGATGTTTTTTCAGTCTCTCCTTTTTTGTTTTTAACTTTTCATTTACTGGCTGTTACAGCACAGTACAGATAGAGCTGCTGTTATTTAACATCAAGTGAAATTTGCTGAAATTCTCAACCGGCTGTTTTATGTTTAAAATCAGAATATGTATCATATTATCTAAAAATTGAATAAAATACGGCTCTATTCAATCTAGACCATCTTGCGAAGACCCTGTGAGGGCTTTTATGAAATCAAAAGTCTAAAAAGCAGGAATTTTCAATTATACTCACAGTAGTCTGCTTTAATAATGTGTAGATACGCTACCACACAGTTTAAACAGTCAGAAATTTCTAATGTGTGAATGCATCGGTGCAACAACCTGATTGGCTCAAATGATTTCAGTTCATCTGGCTCTCTTTTGGGAAAGACGACAGGATAACCTTCAACTTTGCTCTTACCGAATTCTGCAACAATTTCTTTTCAAAATTGTCTGA